TATTTTCCCTAGTGTAAGCCCATCTCTCTACACCTCAGACGGTCAGGTTGGCGTGGGAGTCACAGGTGCTGAGTGATTTATAGCTTTAATTTAGTTGATAGATTAAAATATGGCAGAGAAACTAGCGCAGAACTTTAATTAGCAGAACACAGCAAGCTTCTGTTTTACTTAAATTCGCTGGCAGAATGACAGAAGGGCTTACAACTACATTAACACATCTGAAGAGTACACAGTGTACAAGAACATATATATATATTGTGTTTGTAGAAACTGGGTTTTTGTATAACATCGGAAGTTGTTTATTGATCTTACTGTTATTAGATGTTTGTGATAAATTCAAGAAGGGACAGCTGGAATTCAGTGTTGCAGGCCACGGCTGCAGCCTTTGTGGCGGCGTTTGATTGAAGGAGACAGTTGAAGGGAACAGGTTGCTGCGTCTGTTATGGCTCGTCTTGCTGCTCTTGACCTTTAGCCTTTAGCTGTGACAGTTCCAGGGATTGGAAGATGCCAAACCTCCACTGACTCGGAGTGAGGACTTATTTCATGTAGTTAGAAACAAGTTTGAGATTGACCTTTCTAAAGACTTTGACTTTGTCGAATGTTACAATTGAAACTTGCCTCTACTTGATTTTTTTTCCCAAGTGTTTTAACAATATATGAAAGGAAATATTTTCCGTTACATGTGGAGCCAGAGCTTGTGCATTTAATTAACAAGGGACTCATTTTCATCTTCCATCTATCGAAAGTACACAATAATGCAAAACTGTTTCTCTCTTGTGTGGAGGATGTTGACATAAGCGTTCTTTTAACATATTAGGAGATCAAACACTATTTGGAAGGGAAGCCCACCTGTCATGTCCAACCAGCAGGGGCTGTCTGTCTAAAGAGTGAATATGACTCCTTTATCAGCAGCTCTTCTCTGTTCTGGTTGCCGTTCACTCACCACGGCAAACAACTTTTACTGGTGAGGGGGTGGCTTTACTAGTCATTAACATTGCTCCAGCTTTTAGCACAGATATATTCTGCAGTTTCAGGTTGACTGCTTTTTATGTTGATGAAAGCTAGCTGCTAGAATTGCTAGTATGCCAACCTAGATTCAGAGACACTTCCAGTCAAAAACAAATTATCGGGAGTCTTTAAATGTACTTGAATCAAAAAATAATCAATCCTCTTGTTGAACTTGCAAACCTTAGCAGAAAAAAAGAAGTGGTCTCGGTTTCAACAGATCTTTTTTTTAACTGGATTTTGCTAGTAGCTTTACTGCTGAATCGCCGTCTCCAAACACACTACATTCTGTGCATCCTCTCTCAGTTAGCTCAGTAAATTTGCTGCAGCCTTAGCAGCCAATCATATAGCTCCCCCCCTATCTATCCATCATGATTATCTTAATCTTGAACCCCAAAAAATATTGCATTGTGGTGGATGAAAACTAAATTTACATTCTAGGGCAAGAGAGGCCAATGTAAAAATACAAATAATTATTCTCAAATCATGTTCACAATGCATACCCACTGGCCAAGTTATGAGACCCATATCTTCAAATGTTATTAACAAACATGCCATGTGATTAACAAACAGTTAATCACATGGCAGAAACTCAATGCATTTACCTTTTACTAAATGTGGTCAAGATCACTTACTTGGTTCTAAATGAGCTTCAGAAGAGAGTAAAAATAGGGATTTAATTGATTTCTAATGTGAATTGTTCCATATTAAAGGGATTTGATGTGGGATTTTTCCATTGCACATTCTCTGAGTTCTCCAGAAAATGACAAAATACCTACAGGACAGAGAAGACTGATCAGACTGAGATGTAAAAAAAAAAGGAAACAGCAACTTTAACAAAACGTAATTACACCCAAAGTATGCAGAATTACACCTCTCATTACACACGTCAAACCTTTGAGAAGATGAGCACTAGGTGTCACTCAAAAAAAGCAAACTGACGCTACAATTGGAAAATTAGAAAAAAAACCCCATATAATCAGGAGAATCTTTCTACCCTGTTACAGTTGTTCAAATTGTAACAGGATGGTGTAGTGGTGGGGGGTAAATTTTCTTGGTACAGTTCGGGTCTGTAAGCAGCTGAGGATCATTTAACAACACAGCCTACCTGAGTGTTATTGCTGGCCATGTCCATCTGTTTATTCATTGTCCTTCCATCAGGATAATGCACCATGTCACAACGCTCAAATTATACCAAGCTGTTTTCTTGAGCATGATGATGATTTTACCGTACTCCTCTGGCCTCCATCGTCACTGGATATTATTTTAATTGAGCATCATTTGAGATGGGGCTGAACGGGAGATTCACATCATGCATTTCCATCTAAAAATCTGCAGTAACTGCATGAATGCCATCTTACTGACATGAACCAAAATGTCTGTGAAATGTTTCAAACAACTTGTTGAACCTATTCACACTAAAACCTTGTTTTTTGTGTGCAGACTTTTCAGAAACAACAGAAGAATTGAGTTGAGAAAATAGTTTACAGCTAATGATTTGCTGTGACCAACTCACAGCTGTATATTTAGACTGCAATGCGAACATTCTAGGAGTTAAGTTCAACACCATGTTTGTTATATCAGCTAAATCTCAAAACTGTGGCTGCAGCAAACAAAAGGACCCCGTCTTCACTAATGGGCCCTGAGGACATGATGATGAATGGAAACTCAAAGCGTGACCCAAACGGCCAGTTGGACCAACTGTGGTCTTCTCAAGTTTGTTTCTTCCATATAACAGATCTTTTAAAGATGTTGACCTTTTTAAAAGCTGCCAGTGACTGAGACCATCTATTATGTTTTCTTCATGGCTTTTAGTAAAGTCAAAGATTTCACAATTAGGAAACATGTTTCCTTCGTTTTTTTTGTCTCAAATTTATCACAATAAAAAAATCACGTCTTTTTAAAAGAAGTTAAACAGTTGTGATGCTGTATATTCACTGTCTGCCACAGTGCTGTTCAGTTAAATAAACTGGATATACAGTAAATGGACTGCCAAATCTGTTGATTTGCTAAGACTTTATGAACACTAAGTAAATCACTGAAATGTTTTTTTAAGCTGCTGTTGGATAACTAAGCACGCCTGCCGTGTTAGAAGTGTATTTTTTCTTTGAAATATTCATCTGTTTAGCTTTGTTATGCTGTGAGATTTGTCAAGAGGGTGACTAAAACGTGGAGAATTCCTCAATAATGTAGGTCACACACAAGAGGAACAGTCTCTGTGGTGCTACACCAGAGACAAGCTTTGTCATTTTTTTTAATTTACCCCATCCTCTGGAGGGAAACAATTTACATAATCAGGGTATTCACTGTCAGACTTTTGAAAGCATATCATGTTTATTCTCTTACCTATTAGTCATTATGCACAAAGACAAACTACCAAATAAGCTTGTCTTTAACAAGCACTCTTGACTTTGCTTGGCATGGTTGATCACTTAGGTGGAACACCTTCGATGCGAAACTGTTGAAAAAATATAATCTCATTGCCTTTTTTCCACAACTGTTGTCGAGGATTTACACCAACACGAATGGATGTTTATTATTTCAAGAGCTGAAGCTTATGCACTGTTCTGTTTCCTTTCAACATAAATACACTTGCCTGTGGGCAAAGGAGCAGCTTCTCCTCACTGCTCTGTAGAAGAAAAGATATTCCTTGCTCCGTGTTTGTGCCTCCCCCACCTCTCCTCTGAGCCGGATCCCCACCACATGTAGCCAGCACCACTGAGTCTTGGCGAATGCTTTTGTTTCTGCCAAGATGAGCGGAGGTAGCCTCATAGATCCCCATATCAGGCTTTGGTCCAAGACCGTGTGTTGAACACGGTGGGCCCCCGGCAGTCGTGCACGCTGATGACAAATGTGGATGGCAAGCAGGGGGGGAAAACCTTGGGAATGGGCAGAGAGATAAGGCCATTTAAGAGCTCGTGTTTATTGTGGGAGCAATTTTGTCTTGAGAGTTCTGACATTCTGATTGCTGAGTTTTGACAAAATGTATTTTTTTTTCCCCCCATTTGTTGGAAGGTTTTAAACACCCGCATCGTTCACTTACATTTCTCCATAAAAGTTTCTGCTTCCATATGATGTTTGTCTCAGGAATTTTCATCCCCTGCATTAGGCTTGGCAATTATGTGTCTGCATCCCTACGTTCATTCGCTGTGTTGAGTGGAAACTCTGAGGCACAACTGTTTAGCAGACTCCTGGCCTTCCATTTCCCACACCCTTCATGCCCCCTTAGAGACTTCAAGGTCAGGAAAGGGGTCGGGCTGAGATTCATTGCTTGGGAAGTTCCTTCTCTGTCACAAGTGGCTGCAGTGAGCCACTCTCTCCTTTTACAGTCCTGCTTGTAGTCATCTGCCAGTATCGATTCGAGTTCCGATCCATCACAGGGACTCTTTTATTTCCACAGCTTTTTGGACTGTTCATCAGATGACAAATGCCTCCAGTGGATTAAGTAAGTGGAGTCGTTTTGAAATTCGGATGTTGAAAGTTCTAGCTGAGCGGCACAAGACCTTACCAGCATGTTGAACTCTCCGACAGCTGAGCATGCAAGCCTTGCGCGTGTGCATGTGTGTGTGCGTGGTTGTGTGTGTGTAAATTTTAGGGGGTCAGGTTAAAGCAAAGGGGGGGCTGGCCTTTAAAGGTCCAGTGAAACAAAAGTTATGTAGGCAGCTGCCATCCTGCTGCCAGCAGCTCATGATCCAAATGGAAGATGTACTCTCACACATGTACGTAAGGGATAGATTGGCGTGCAGATGAGGATCTGACACACTGAGCTGGGTGCCTGTAGTTGCTCCCGTCACTCTCAGGCCACACACATGCTCATGTGTACACAGAAAGTTCCTGTTTCTGTCCAGTCATCTTCCCAAAACACAAAGAAATGGAAAAAAGAAAATTTTGGGATTTTTTTGCTCTAGAACTTAAAAATACATGAACTATTTAAGCAAGTTACTGTGTTGAGTCTTCTGAAATGAAATATGTCTTAAGTGTCTTCATGACAATATATTTTGGCCAATTGTTAAATGCAGAACTAACAAATAGAAGTTTCTAAGTAAATTGGCTTAATCGTTTTTTAAAGAGCGTATCAACTGTTTCCCTGTGTGCCTTCATGGACACTGATGAATTGGTGGCAGTTGTTGAAGGCATATTAGGACAGAGGGCAGCCTGGGAGGGGTTTACTGGTGAGACGGGAGGAGATTAATGTTCTGTGTGACTGTGATGGGTGGTGGCCAAGAAGAGGGGGGCTAACAAGAAGCAGGAACAGCAGAGGATGGGGTTTTGATGGTGGCGTGGGGTGTCCGGTAAGAGGAGTAATTTGGGCCATCCGGAGTGAGGCGTTTCACCAGCAGTTGTCACCTCAGCAGTTGGTGGGAGACTGGCACATGTGCTGCTCTGACTTGGACCGCTTTTTTTATTTATTTATCCTTTTTTATTTGGGACAGTGTTTCTGTGATCTTTGATTTTTAATATTTTATATTTAAAAAAACAAAACAAAACTATCCTCTATCCTGGAATTGGACGAGCTGTGTTCCTGTTTTGTCCCAGCTGGACCATTCTTTGACGGTAAGACAGACTCTCAACATGTGGGTTTCACCTCATTGTTTTGAACTGACATAAACCGTGCCTCACCTAAATCCATATAAGCAAAACTGTTCTCTAAAATAGAAGTCTACAGGCCATGGCAGGGCAGATGCACTCTCTGCTCTTTTTCAGTTGTTTTGAAGTTCTCAGAAATATGTCAAGCTCTGCCTTTGCTTATCAGTCCCTCGGGGGCGTCAGTGGGGCTGCTGGTGCCTTTGAGGACTTTATGATGCAGATAGTATGGAGTTCGAGGTGACTAACTGTGTGGCCTGTTGAATATCGTCAGCCGCCGAGCTGACACCAACCCTGGCCTCAAATCCACTGAGGGAGAAACAGGAGCAGAGATCACAACCTCTTGAGATTTATCTGTGAATGCTTGAGTTTCTGTGTGGCTTGTAATGTCTCACCTGTTCCTTTTTTGACCAGTGTTGTTATTTACCAGTAATGTCTTTGGTACTTGTTTAGCTTTGACTGGTCTTTGAATGTTTGCACACATAAGACAGCTGAAATAAATAGACGTGTTTTCTGTGGTTGAATCCTAATGCCACTTGAGTAGATGAAAGCTGTTTATACTTTGACACTATCAAAGAAATATGTATTCAGAACTTGGTTGGTTGTTATTTATCTTTGCATGCCAGGTTAAAAATTTATGAAACTGTACAGGACTGTTAAATATTTTCATTAAATGTTTCACTTTGTTAGATAAATTGGAATATTAGACAGAGATCACCTAACTAAATACAAAATGCTGTTTTTAAAATGTTATTTCATTTACAAGGATCAATAGGCAGACCAACCTGGCCTACCTGGCCTACACCCTATACCTAATAACTGGTTGTACCACCCTCGGTGGCAACAGTTGTCATTAAGCATTTACAATAACTGGCAATGAGCCTTTCCTCTGGCTGTGGACGAATTTTAGCTAACTTTTTCTTCCGGAATGGTTTTACTTCAGCACATTTGAGTCTTTTCAAGCATGAATTGGCTGTTTGAGATCATAATAGAATCTCAGTTTGATTTAAGGCAAATTTGAAAATATTGTTTCTGTTTTTCCTGGAGCCATTTAGAGATTGGAGTTGTTGGTGTTTTCCAGTCGTGGTGCCAAATAACCCAAGTGAGCTAGAGTTTAAGGTCACAAATGTTCTTCAGGTTTGGTAACTAGAAATGCTGAGGTGGTTTTACACTGTGTGACAGGAGACACCTTCCAAATATTCTACTTGGATGGTAGATTAAGATGTTATTTTTGGGAATGTGAGGGAATCCTTTGGGTTCTTATGGATCACTCGTAGCTTTGACCTTAACTGCAGCAAGTGAGACTTGCAGTTTCTGAGATGGTCTGGATTCTTTTGTGACCTGCATGATGCTATCAATGTGCCCTTGGATCAATCTTGGTGGACTTGGCAGTCCTCTCCATGGAGTTTTGAAGACACAGACATGGCTTTATGGGTTTTTCCAGACTGTTTCTCTTCCAAATTCTATTCAGATCAGGCTAGGATGTGTTCCTTTTGTAGGTCTTTTGCCATACTTTCTGTTTTAGTAATCACTGTTGGGAAAAGTTGGTGAAATTGAACTCAACTTTTCAGTTTTGTTAATCTTTAATAAAATACTTAACTTGAATTGGTGAGATGTGGGTGGGGATGCTTAACAAATAAAATCACCCCTGCAATTGTAATGTTTTATTCTTCTTTATTAAAGTTAGTTTGGCGATCTGAAATATTTAAGTGTGAAAAAGAAGCAAAAGCTGAAGAAATCACAGTATCGTGTTCTCCATTTAAGCTTTGAAAGGTGACATTTGAATTAATGCTGGCATAACAAGGGATTAGCTTTTCTTTTCTATCATGTATTCTTGAGCTGCCTTATTTCCTGTATGTTTTTAAACTACTCCATGTGGACAGATTTGTGGGTCTCCAAGCAGCTGCTAGACAGTTGTTTTGAAGTGTGTCTTGACAACAAAGCCACCCTGGATGGTTCTCTTGTGGCCAGATTAAAGGAATCCTCTTTGGTGAAAGATGTCATACTTTAAAATTCAAAAAGCACATATCATGATTAAGATCTTGATTTGTATTTTTGTTTTTGTTTTAACCCTCTCCAGCCCCCGCCAAAAAAAACAAAACAAACAAAAAAAAAAAAAAACATAAAATGCTCTCATCAGAGAACATTGGTATGTCAGAAGATGTTTGTGTATGCACCAGAGAAACTCCCAACATACTTGCACAGCCTGCATTTCACAACTAATGACGGATAAAGTTCAGAAAACATTTGTGACAAATACGCAGGTACTGCTGTTCTGGCCAAAACGTCAACATTCCTCCTCCCACTCACCTGCATACATAAAAATAAACCCGATAGTACTCTAGATAAAAAGCTATTTTTAAAGGCGTCATTGGGTAGTCCTCGTCTTGCCTGTCTGGCTTTTGTAGAAGGCGTCCAACATGAGAGCACGTTCTGCCGGTAATGGCATACCTTTGTGTGGGTGTTCCCTTTGTCATATAGTGTCACTGTTGATGTCATTGATCTTTTGAATTGACTGCATTTCTGTTTGTCACTAGATTGTTTTTGTGCTGCATGAGATTCATAGGTAATGGAAAAAGTTGTAGTTGAAAAAAAACTGAGAAGGTGTTTGTCCTTAAGAGACAGATCACAGGGAGCATAATGACCCAAATATTAAGTTTGAAATATAACTTTCATTTTATTTTTATGTCAACAGCATGATTGGTTTATAGTTCAAAGTAAATATAAACGTTTTTTTTTTTTACTTTGATTTATTCTGCATTTAGTCAGGATTCTTAGACACATGCATGTATGATGTGCATCCAGCACATCTGGGTTTGAAGCATTAGTTAGGAAATGTTTGTGTCGTTAAAATATGATCTGGATTGTTGAAAAAAGGAAGTTAAAAGACAAACTGTAGGTATAAAGTAATATTTCTATTGCTTGACAGTTCTTTGCAAATTTAAGAAAATGGATTTAAGCCACACTTTGTTCCAGACATTTGATCTTGGAACTTTAACACAGTCCATCAAAATGTGAGAACTTCCTCCTAAGTAATATTTTAAAAAAATAATTCCCAGTTTGCACATCTTTATATGATTCTGCTGGTACTTAACACCAAAACTGACCAACTGATGGATTTCCTAAATCAACTAAAGGTGCAATTCAAACATTTCTTTCAGGAGGTACTTCAGACATTTGTCTTGCTTTTAGAATTTTGTATTGCCAGCACTTGAATATCTTTGGCTGTAAATGAGGTCACGTTAAGCAATAAATCTACATACTTTACCTCTGTTTACTCTCTATTACAGCATGTTTGCTTGTGTTGCTCTTTGTTATCCCCCTCTATTGTTCCTCTTTCTCCTCAAGTCAGCTCACGTTTCAGGGAAAGGTGTGAGGTTGAGTATGTTTTGTTGTGTTTATCTTTACCTGCGTTGACCATGTGGTTTAATCTGTCGGATTACACCACGACTGGAGAAGTGACAAAGTCTCTTAGGCCAAAAAAATAAATAAATAAAAATAATACGGAGAAAGTATAAGCTGGCCTGTGAACCAATGTCTTCTGCATGTTTTTTTCAGTCTCTGTACAAAATAAACCTGTGTTTACATTCAAATGCATGAGGTATTATCAGGTGTTTCTGCTGCATTCTTGCTAGAGGCTATGAAAACAAACAGCAAATTGGTGAGAGTGAGAACGCCCTGTGTTTTCAGTGTATGAGGGTAGGTTTGTAGGTTTTTCTTGCATTTACTTGCAGATGTTTGCGTACGTGTGTACTTCACCAGCCGAGAAGCTCAGATCTCCTTACTGCCCCTCCCATCCCATCTCAATCCTCCACCCAAACCACCATCACCGCCACCTCTGAAGTGCTGCCCTTGCAGTGCACCAGCCCACATCTCCAAAGTCCTACCCATGATTGGTTAGAAGGAAGAGGGGGAATGAGAGATCATATTCCACTGCCAGGGTTGGCAGCATAAATGTACGAGCATAATCACAATCCTTAGCCAGGCCTCAGATGTCAGGCCAGTAGCTTCTCTCCCTCCGTGGTTTTTCCACAGTGCCTTGCCTTCCCTCCACCTGCTGGAGCTCCTACCACCAACTCAACCATAGGGTTTTGTTGTTACTGCAAACATGCCTACTTGGTGACCTAAAGCTCAAGGGTGGTGTGAACTGTGTCCAACGGCCGTCCAGGAACATGAGGCAACAGGCTGTAAATATCACACAGCTGCCGCTGGCAGAAGACCCTCAAGGTTGGGCCACAAACTGAGCCTCAGTGGGTCAAATGAGGGTTTTCAGCATGCCTGCTACATAGTATAGCCCTGCACTTTAAGCTCAACCTCTTGGACTGTGACTCAGTAAGCAACAAATCCATTCACGCGTCTTTCTGTTTTTTCATCTTTTAAAAAGATAATTACTCAAAATGCTTTTTGAAGGTTTTTAAAGAAAAAAAAGATGTATTCATCATAACTAATAATACCATATCTTTGTATTCCTGCTCATTTCATGTGATGTCTCTGGGGGCTTGTGATTGCATTATTTGTCTTATGTTTTCTCCATCCTGTCAGACCTGTTTGATTGAACACTGAGTTATGAATTATTATTGTTGAAGTATTGATTCTCCCAACCCCCGACAAGTCTGAGGTAGAGATCAGTCATTTTCACTCTCTGCTGCAGAGGTCATGGCTTCAGCTGTTTCATCCAGACAACCTGGCCTCTTCTTGAAATATGAATCCCTGAACTCTAGTTGCAGATTGCTTCTGTAATATTTTTCCAGCAAGGCCTGACATTTGATATGCTATATTACTTGCACCAGTCAAGTGGCCATTTTACCCTTAATTGTCTTGGACTGGTTAATTTTGCAGGGCATTGAATTCATTAAATGTGAATATCCCACTCATTCCAATCTACAAACATATTAACTGAGAGTTTAACTTTTCAGTTTTTAAGCCTAAATTAGCTCATTATTTATCTTATGATCTCTGGATTGATTTTATTTATTGATTATTTATTTATTTTTTTAAACCTTGTTTGTCAGCTCAGTTGGTAGAACACAAACACATGAGGAATGAATTTCAGATTGTTTCCATTAAGCAGTAAAGAAGCAGATTTATAAGTGTAGTTAGAAACTGAGATCCAGTACCATGCAGTGTACATTTGGCATTAAATGGGGGTCCCAGTTGTGGGCATATGTTGGTTATCACTGCTGAGCTTAAAGAAAACATGAGATTTTCCTTCTCACTGGTCCCCTGTTGTGGCAGCGCTGCCATCACCAGCACCTTTCTTCCCCTCAAATACCAGACCGCTGTTATCTCTGTGCTCCAGGCTGCTCCAGTAACACTTAACACAGCCAAGGATGGACATCCAGGAAGCTTCACATACACCTAAACACACACACGTACACACACATAACAGGACAGATAGCAGGGTTAGGATTAACCACATTACTGAGCGATCCAATTTTAACCAGTTATTAAATGGAAACACCAATAACACAACTTTTTAATAGAGTGGTCTGACTTTTATTAGTCACTACCAATTTCAGTTTTTTTCTCAAGGCAGACCAATTCTAAATGTAGTTTGGCACATTCAGACTACTTTGGACAAACTTTTTTTGATTCAGCAGTTGAGTTGAAGCACTGAGCATAAAAGAAGACAATGTGTTGTGGGTCCTTGATAGAGTTGGTAGTTTTAAATCTATCAGAAAATTAACAGATTGGAGCTTTCCTGAACTTGTGCATCGAAGTGATTTAAAAAAAGTGATATGTTGATGCACTTTTGGCCTAAAAAGATAGGTGTGGTAAGTGATATTACCAAATTGACAAAAAATAAATAAAATAATAGTCTCTTTTCCTAAAAAATATATACTTCAGGATTAAAGCTGTTCAGAGAACATTAAATGCAAACAGTTTTGATAAAGTTACTTTGGTATACTTTAAAAAATACAAAGTAACTATGAGATGTCTCCAGTGGTAGACTGAGAAAATCCTTCACAAAGCAAAACATTTGAGTTGAAAACATTTTTAGTTAAAAATGTTACTCTTCTCTCCTTTCTTCAGTATGTTACCATTCCATGTCTTTGAGGGCTTGCGTACAGAGCTTCACCGTCAGCTGATTACATCACATCTTGCCCTTCTGTGCAGGCCAACAGAATGCTGCACTGACGCAGAGCGCGTCTAGCCTAAACACCCTGTTCTCTCCTGCTGTATTTAGTGGTTTAGTGTATGTGTGTGTTTGTGTGTGTGTCATGACTCAATCACAGCTCCTGCTCCTTCTCTGCAGCTCCTGACACATTCAGCCCTCAGGAGTAACATCTGAGGCGATTTATCGGTAATATCGAGGGCAGCTTCAGCCTGCAGGACATCCAGGCAGGTTGTCAAAGGGAAGGTCACTAGTTCACAAACTGTGACTGGTTGGGAAAAATCTGGCTGACGTGCCCTTTGGCAAATCACTTAACCCCTGATCGCCCTATCGCCACAACAGATTTTCTTTATCAGTTGGAGAAGACTGGTTGAACTGGGAACCTTTCAGATGCAGAACTGCATGGATCGAAGCATGTTACTGCATCTGTTTGAAGACGTTTAAATTACTGTTAATGTCCCTCTGGGATTCATAGGTTTTTAAAATTTTAATTGAATTGCAACAGGCGCTGGTTGTATTTGACGTTTTGTCCACATCAATTTTTTTTTATTTTCAGAATTAAATGGAAGACAGGAAATTGTTCGAACCACATCTTAGTTCTCTGTCTCCAACAAGAGTTTGTCTCTTTAATTTTTTCCCACTTAATTTCCCTTTCAGGAGCAGAAAAATAAGAGTTTTCTGTAACTTCTCATTGTCTGACTGCATAGACTTATTACTTTTACAGAATATCTACTCTACTTCATATTTACCTTGTAAGTAGCTGATACCAAAACATCATGCAAAAATTAAGCTAAATTCCTCCATTGCCTCCAGTGTTTGAGAACCAAAGCTGTAACGCATTTGGGTGTTCCCCAGGGTTCTAATCTAGGCCCATTGTAGGCTCCTAATTATCAGCATTTATCTTTCCCCTGTCCAAAGCCTTTCTGCTGTTCCTGCAGCGAGGCAGCAGACACACTCCAGGCTCTCTGCTTCCCATGTGAGAGCAAAGACTCTGCCTGACATCAGACATGGGAAGCGAAAAGCAGCAGCAGCGTGAAGGGTAAAAGGTCGAAACTTGACCACCCCAGGCAGATAAAGCAGCCTTTTCATGTGTGATCGGCCTGCTGCCTGAAGACAAATCCCTCAGTTCGCTGCCTTTGAACTTCACGGCAAACGGAGCGAGTCCCTCACCCGCACGGCCGCTAACAAGCGCCGCGAGAGACTCTGAACTCACCTTGTTATTATTTTGCTTGAATATGTGTCCATTTTTACCCCTCTTTCATTTGATGCTGAATGAAATAAAATGGATGACCCACATGTTAGAAACATTTGTTCTTCCTGGAGGGACACTAACAAGGAGATCCAGATAGAATTCATTAACCTTAGCTGAACTCTTCTGAGTCTGAGCCAATCAAAAGGCACAAGATGAACAGAAAGGTAAAATATTCATCTCCTGCAGCTCACTGTAGTTATCCCTTTGGTTCTCCTTCGAAGTTTGTCTGATACAGCAATCATAACACTCATAACACCTTCTTTCTGCCTCCCTCCACTCTTTACCATCAGTGCATAATTCATAAACATCTTATCTAAGCCAAGCCGATTGCCTTCTCTCTAAATGAGCACGCAGTGCGGCGCCCACAGCTTAACAAAAGGAATGTCAGTCTCATGACAGACAGTTTCGAGTTCTTTGTTTCAGGAGAATGGATGTAAATAGAGGGCGTTCTTCTGCTGCAGCTCCCCCAGGTAGAGGCAGAGCAAACAACGCCGAGGAGCCGCTGTTGTGTCTTTGCTCGCTGCTTTCCAGAGGCTTCAGCTGTGCCATGCTGCTGCTTGGCTGTGTGTGTGGGTGCGTGTGTGTGTGTGTGAGAGTGTATAAACAGTCTGTATGCATATATAGATTGCTATATTTAAATCTGAACTACAAATACTAGTAACAGGGCCTGAAACAGTCTATGCCTCTGTTGCCATTTGTGGGTTTCTGCTGTCTCATTCATTTAAGAGCGAGCATGAATTTTCATAAACACTTTGAACTTTTTCATTGCTTTATGCTTCAGATAATTAGAATTTATAATGCACTCCATTTTCAATCTGCCATCATGGTGCATCTCAACCATATTTCATAGTTATTTATATGGTTGCATAGATTAGACTGATTTTTTTCTCTGGAGTTAGGTCAGTGTTCATTTTAGTTAATAAAGCATAATGCTGTTTCGTTGGTCGACATTTCTATGAATCATGTCGCTGGAAAAATGCCCACTCATTTTACTTTGCCGACTTACATTTTATCTGCTCTGAGGTCTTATTAAAAAAAAAAAAAAAAAACAATGTGGCAAAGATCGAACACACTGCATCGTTTTAGATAAGTTTTCTTTCACCTCAACCTGCTGAAAAATGCTCCTGAGATTTATATTAAACTTGCCTAACCCATAGGGGGCAGCGTAGCGCAAAGTTAAAACCAATCACATTGGTTCAAAACAACCACAACTTCCTGTTAGAAATTAAACCTGTGAACAGAAGGTTGGTTTGAGTGGACAGATATAGGTTGAACTACTTTTAGATAGCATATTAGAGTATTAAATTATTAAAACAAGGCATTATCTATTGGGAATCATGACAATATATTGGAGCATTATTTATCGCAGACAATAATGCGAGGGTCTTTAAATCTTTGTTTTCCAATGAACACACACAAACACAAATACAGATTTTTTTTCATTTATTTATTTGTTTTAATTTCCGCTGTGGTTGGAGTTTTTAGAAATAATAATTTTTAGTGATTCAAAATGAGTTTTTGTGTGGAACATAGAAAACATATATCAGCCATAACATATAAAAATGTTTCAGTTTTCTCAAATATTTGGCTATGTGTCAGGGAGATTTTTTATTTTATTTTTTTTCAGAAAAAAAGTGTATCGGAGAGGAGAAGAACCTCCATCCATCCAGGATTTGCAGCCATCCTGATGCAGAGCATTAAACAGTTTCCTGCAGAGAAATTATGATCCAACAAGATTGTGTTTAGAAAACGGGAAATGTGCAGCATCCACAGACTCTTTTGTTGTGGCTCTGATCGGGGAATCACATTTGGCGTGTCAGGCGACCCAGGCTGGGCAGCCGGTAGCCGTGGGCGACCAGCAGATCAGTGATGTGGCGGTGATGCCTCTAATGAAGCTGACACAGCACAGCCTCCCTCCTCACAGACCCCCAAGCGCTTCGTGCTCTGCATGAAGCACCACAACAGATCCACCCCAGTCTACTCTCCAATTCAACCAAATCTTCCTCTGATCTGATGTTTTCTCAAATGTGTTGTTGCGTCATTTATTATATGTTGCGTTAAGGCAAAGTGAGGGGTTGTAGTAGCAGAATTGGGTCACTATCTACCAACACAGCCTCTATCTGCCCTTTTGCGTCTCCCTCCCTCAGTCTGATGAATGCCTTTATGTTGTTTTCCAGGAGCTGCCCAGCTGAGGTGAAGGGGAGGGCAGAAGATCCCAGCGGAGTGTTCATGACCTGCCCACAGAAACAGGACCATGATCTGAGGACGGTGCTGGATGCATAGAACCCCATCTTCCTCTCCTCTTTGTCCCTCTTCTTTTTTGTTTTTCTGGGGGTTTTTTCAGTCTGAACTGAAAAGCCTCTCTGCTCAGGTGCTTTAGACAGAGTCAGGGTTAACAAAAAGGTCAAACTGAAAGCAAGTAAGCATCTACAGAGGAAGAACTACATCTACAGCCATCTGTGACCTCACTCATTTCCATATCCTCCCTCCTCCTCCCATCGCAACACCAGAACCATGGGGAGGAAAAAGATCCAAATTCAGAGGATCACTGATGAACGCAACAGACAGGTTAGTGATGATGAAATGAGCCGGTGTTCAAATTCTAACCAAACTGATGCAGTCAAGACAAGATGCAATGCAGTTTGTCTTTCAGTCCTGTAATCCAGCCTAAAGAGAAACCATTAACACCAAATTGCTTTTTATGGGTGTTTATGGACAGGGGGGAGAAAAAAAAAAAATCAAGCCTTGCTGGAGAAAAGTCATCTGGCAGATGAATGCATGCACTGCTCACTGCAGCTAAACACACACAACTGAAGTTCATTTTCTTTACTTAAGAACATGTAGTTGATGTAATTATCTTGCTCCCTTTAATCATATTCCCATTAATCTGTTTACAATTTTAAAAAGTTTGAAACTCCTAAATTAACACGTATGGTGCCTTGTAAATTTATTCACACCCTTTAATTTTTTTTGTCATTTGATATGGCCAGAAACATTTACTGACATTTTACACAACACAAAGTAGTACCCAGCTGTATAGTAGAAAGAAAATTTGCAAATCCTGTACCAGAAATTGGTTGGGCTCCACTGTACTTAGATTCAGAAGAACTAAGTTGGTAAAACATAAAGGTTGAGCCAATCTGCCAGGATTGTGAATAGTCTGGGGTTTAATTTTGGCTACATTTCTGTAAGTGGGTTTGTAATTATATGTGTCAATGCTTTTCAAGTCTACATACAAACCCTACCCAATGCAGAGCATAAAAACACACAAAGTACTGTAGTTTCTGGATTCAAAGTCACTCCAGAGTTTAAGTCGGATTTATTTAAAAATTGGTGTGAGGGGGATCTAGTCCATATTAGTGAAATATTCTGTTGACACGTGTTCAGTTGCCTGTTTTTAAGCAAACTGATGGCTACTGTTTACTTTGGCTTGAAAGTCTGCAAGCAGTTTCTGACACACTGATGTCCGTGCGCTAAATCAGGGGGAGTCAGGAACGCTCAACTCCGCCGGTGTTATGACAATCTGTGCTTTTTCATCAAATTTTAATACTGCAGACGGTGAAGTGCTCAGCAGAGCGGTAATAGAGAAGGGTAATAGAGAAGCGATTATGCCAAAAAAGCCTCCATGTAAAGGCGTATGTTCGCATCTTTGGCAAGAACTAGGATGTGGAAACCTACCTGCTCCACACACAAGCCTTACAGCACATTATTAAGCAACTAGGTTGCATTCAATTTATCTCGCATCTGCATATTTGCATCCTTGATTCATGTCTGTCAGTATAAATTAATAAGTAACGCATCAGTTAAAAAATATTTAATGAAGTCATAAGTCACTGGACCAGCCAGACAGTGAGAAAAACAGACTTCTAGTCCAGAAATGACAGAACTGAAATTGTAGTGGCTTCATAGCTTATGGCATAATATACTACAGATGTTGTAATCTACAGGCTGATGCCTGGAAACTGGTTGGTGTTCATATCGATCAGCTGCATCCAGTAACCAGCGGATCACTTTCAGATAAATCTAACACAGAGCAGATCACATTACTTCCTCTGAATCTCAGCTTTTAAACTACGCTGCAGCATCACAGATGACAGTGGGTCATATGACTCTGCAGACATGTTTTGTAGGACTCTTTGAATACACCTTTTGATGCATCAGCCTACCTCTTCACCTCCTCTTGCACCCACCAAAAACAACAGAAATCATCAGAAAGCATAAAATTGCCCCAGTGCCTCGTTACATCAGTGGCATTGTCAGAGAAGATGAAAGGGTAAATGATCCATCTAAAATGAGTCAACTGGTAAATGGGCTTTGCTCCATTGAACAGATTGAGTAATGGATTTGACTTGCCCACCTTCGAAACCAGAGAGAGAAAGGAAATGAATAAAAAATGAAGAGAGAGAGTAGAAACATTTAGATTTTAAAGTCAATGTAAGGTTTAGAATATGAATCAAGTTAATATTTCTAAAAAAGAGGGAAAAGAGCTTCTGTAACCAATTCCTCTTGAAGGATGTTGGTTTGTTTCTCATCTATGAAAGAACTGGGTAATAAAGTTTGCATTTGTATCACATAGTGACTTGTTTGTCAGTAATTGCATGCCCTTCGTGGTAATATATGATCATGGCAATAAAGAGCATAAAATAAGGCTGAACTGAGCCAAAACCATTCTTGCATTTCACAGCTTTATTTCTGTTTATCTGATGTTTTTCACCCACAATGACCTAAACAGCTGAACAGGATTTTATTCTGTCGTTGACATTTAGTTGGTGAAGTGAAACATAGTGTAAAGCTGCTAAAGAAAGGAGTATTTTTATATCCTGTCTCCGTGTTGCTTCATCTAATGAACAGCGCAGCTTCTGAAAGGAAATCAAATGAATTTTTTGGAGAACATGCAGCCCGTCACCCTCCTACATGTTGATTCGGAGATGCTGCCATAAGCTCCACAAAATAAACAGCATTCAGAGTGTGGGCCCCAGCTGGAAACATGACAGCATCTCAAATACCACGTTTCTTATTATGACAAAGACAGAAGCGAGAACAGAGAACAGAACTGGTAACGTTCAAATCCCCTGATGGATTTTTGTTTTTCAGATTTTTGGATGTAATTTTGGATCAAAAAGTGGACTTTCAGTTTACATTGTGACAGATTTTAACAAGAAAACCTAAGAGAAAAAAAATCTGCTACAATGTTTATTAATGGGACTGATAAAGAATGCCAAAATGTACATTAAATCTGTGTGCAATGATATATTTAATGTGGAAAAAAACAGATAATCTTTTGGATAAATTAGGACAAATTTACTAAAGAGAACAAATTAGAATGCATCTTCAATCCAGAGAAAGGGGATTGATTAGCTCTGGCACTAACTTAATACCTTGTGAATGTACACACAAATGTAGCAAGATCATCTCAGTCACAACCAAAGCGATCTTGCAAGAACAGTGCCAATTAGTATGGGGTTGCAGAACAGCCAGACCTCGTGGTAATCATGTGTGGGTAATTTAAGGATAAGAGATGCTTATTTGTTGTAATATGACAACTATAATAGGCTGTAGGTCCAAAGGTTACCGTGTATTCTACTTATTAATTTGCTTGAAAATGTTGCGGACTGAAACGTATGCTTGTTCTCTGTGTTGATGGCATATAAGTTTATTTGACCGACAAACCTTTCTGGCTTGTAAATAAGATGGTGGATTTCAATTTAGAGGCCTAATAGTCAGGCAAAGCAAAACAAAACAAAAAGTCTTAACATGTCTGCTGTGTTAGGACTTTCCAAAAATATTCAGACTCCTTAAACTTTCTTACCATTTGTCATCTTAGAAACCACGAGCCTTAATGTATTAAGGATGTGAGTAGTGCCTAAGTTTAAAGTGAAATGTGAGAAGTAACTCGTTTCTTTCAAACAACATGGGTGATCAGGTTGTGATCCCTGGAGCCTGGAAGATTTACAGGGGATTTGAATGGAACTGGCATTCACTTTCAAGGATGGCAAGAGCCATAGGCTACTTTAGAATAGTTTAGTTTGAAGGATACCCATGTGTTGGAGTGGTTCAGTCAAAGTCCAGACATAAATCCAACACAGACATTCTCCTTCCAGTCTAATTGAATTTAAGTTATTTTTCAAAGAGGAATGGAAAAAGTTGCTAATCCTTACATGTACAAAGATGTCAACAACAAACTCCAAGTTATTGATTCAAATACACTCCATTTTTTTGTTTTCCATTATCTTTCCACTTGTTCTGATTTCATGTTTATCAAATAAAGTCCAAGGTTTTGTTTCAATTATGATAAAATGTACATCTGTACATATTTGTAAATTCATATACAAGTTACTGTGCATTCAGGCAATCATTTAAAGACAATCTTAAAATGTAATATAAAAGAAAATGACTTTCTAGAACTTTACTGTGAAAAGGTCAATATCTTAGTATTTTGTGGACCTCTAGTGAAATTTATTAGGAAAATGAAACCGTCTGTGGTCAAACGCATCAGGTTCTTTAAACAGTTAAGACCAAATCCTGTGAACTGTGAGCGAGCAAACAAAAAATCGGGGTTTTGGCTGCCGGAAAGAGCGAGGAGAGGTTGCGGTTGTCTGTGGTGGTTTCCTCATCCATCTGCCACACAGCCACAAACCTTGCCAAGACACACTAACTCTTACGTGCGCGCACACACACGCAAATCAAACCTCTAGCTCCCTTTCTCTCTTTTCTCACTATTGATGTCTTATTCTTCAGTTGCTATTGGTTACCTCGCTATTCTGCTCTTAATGTCAATTACCTCCAGCTTGTTTAGTCTTTGTGGTGAACATCAAGACTGAAGATTAGGGCCAAAGTCACTACCATCCTGCCCACTTTCCTCTTGGAAAAGAAGTGAAGAGAGAAACAGGGACTTTTGCTGGGATGTTGTGACTAATTTTGTTTGTTTTCCATGCTGGTGGGTGACCTTATAATTTGTTAGGGGAGCAGTTGTTGTTTGCGGCGGCTTGTCTCTTCATCACCAACCATTCTTGTCATCCTGCAGAGCCGTAATTTCCTTCGTTTCCAGCTTTGCCACATAATTTATCTACTCCTTCTGTGTAAGCGCGAGCGAGCGATAGAGAGAGAAAGGAAGAGGAAAGGGGGGGCATATGTAGATGGGTAGAAAGATAAAGATGACACAGTGGGGGGGCGAGAGAGGTAAGATGATGGCAGCAATGTGTGATGAGGTGGGAAATGAGTGGGGCAGACGGGAGGAGGGAGTCGGTTGCCCGTGGATACGACCCCGATATAATTTGATTTGTGGCAGCAGGAAGCAATGAGTGAGCTAACACGAATAGGAGGGTGGGTGGGGGGGTGCAGAGGATGTGGAAAATACTGACAGAGGAGAGGAAGAGAAAACGAGGGCGAGGAAATAAGAGGAGCAAAAGAGACGAGCAGCTTAAACATGTCAGGTGCTGAAGCAGGAAGGAGCACGAGAACGGAGGGATGGAGGGATCACAGGGGGAGGAAGATGGAGAGACTGAAGGTCTCACATGGCTTCTTCTCTCATCCTCAGTGATCATATTTTGTTTGCGCTTTTCTTTTCTTCTTTCGCTCCACATTCAATTAATTTCAATTACAGTTTCAGTTCAGAATTATTGTTCCAGGATAGCAGTGTGGAATGTGACAGGAAGTGAAAGCCACTGTCAGTGCAGGCAAACTGATATCACTGTAGTGTGTTCAGTTAGTGCTGTAACTGTGGTGCAATGGAAGAAAGGACCTCACTGGCCTTGGAGTCTATTAGTGATTGCAAACGTCAGAATGATAACTATTTAATAGCTGTATTGATGCTTCTTGAACAAGTACTTTGGCTTCAGACTCTTAAAGATCCATTGTTAAGGCCTTCTTTAAGAAAAGAAGGAACTTTCACTGTAGGAAACTAAAAAATAATAATAATAATAATAATAGCAAATGTAATTGCAATAGTTTTATTTAGTTAAAACTATTGCAAAAAAAAAAAAAAAAAAAAAAAAAACATGAGAGCACTTTCTACTAAAAGCCACAGAAACATCAATCCAAGGCCAAGATTCAAACCACAACCTTCTTGTTGTAATGCAACAGAAATATGCATTTTCATAATGAATCTAATGTTATTGTTGCCTAACTGAAAACCTGTTCTTAGTTTATCTAGAGCAATTTATTTATTAACATCTCCTCCCATGTTTTTGTACTTAAAATTAGGTTATAGTTAACTTACTACAAATGAAGGAATCGTTATTAATCACTAATAATGAGGCTTTTAAACAGAAAAAGTCAAGAATATTAAAAGACAGAAATTAACTGATAATGAAAAGAATTTCCTAACAAGGTTTATTTACTCATAAGTTAACCTAACATGAACAAACTAACCCTTTAGTAGTATCCAAAATGCTAATTAATTGTGAAATTATGTTTTCATAATATGTTCACCAGGAAACAATTAGATGAACTCTTGCAAATTGAAGATTTTTTTTTTGATCATGACACTAAACAAATTCTGAAAAACTGACACGTAATTTTTTTTTTTTTTTTTTTTTTTGAGCAACTTATAAAATATTTGAAAGAAAATACAGATATGCAATTTCTATTTTCTATTTGCTATTGGCTGGAGTTTTGTAAAGCAGCCAATCCAGGAGCACCATTCTTTTCTATGGCACAAATAATGAACTCAAAGAGTGGAGAGGATGGATATTAGTATTTTTAACAATGATGCAACAAAAGGTTCACTAGTTTGTCAGTAAGTAAACTAGTATGTAACTGTAAAGTTGGATACTGCTTGAAAGAAAAGACAATAATAATTATATTTTTACCCGAAACTATTCAGAATGAAACGTCCACCGTGTCATGGCCAGATTGATGAAGAATTCATATAAAATTGTAGGTTTATAAAAAACAAATTCAGGAAATAGCTTTACTGGAATGTTCATTTTGGTTTCCAGAAAACAAATGTTTCAAGTCCAACTTGTTAACCTCAGACGAGACGTCCCAACTTGTTTTTTACTTTCATGTCTGATGGAAAATATTATGTCACCTGTGGGTGTGGCCCGAACACGCTGCGTCTTTGAAAACTTCCCTGTCCTGTTTTACTCCATCTGTGGACAGATTTTACTTTCACTCTGATTTTCCTCACATCAAACAGTATAAAACTGTAGCCGTACCTGAAGCCTTTTTCCCTCTTGCTAATCTTTTTACTCAGTGTGTTTGTTTTTGTGCAATCCTGCGTGTTTAATCTAAACAAAGCCAAATCTCCCCGGATTGTAAATACCAGTTGGTTAAAGCAGAGAAGCACTTCCAAAGCCAATCAGCAGACAACAAAGGACCCTGTGCTTCAGCAACACTTCCAGTTCTGTTCGGCATGTTCACAACTGAGGGGGCTTGTGGAAGAGAGAGTCTGTGTGTGTGTGTGTGTGTGTGTGTGTGTGTGTGTGTGTCTGCTTGAAAGAGAGGAATAATGTGTGACAGAAGGAGAGTGTGGAAAAGAAGGCATGAGAGCATGTGTGACATAGAAAGAGAGCATGGAAAAGAGCATAACAGAGTGTGAAAATGACAGGGAGGGTGAATGTGACGGGAAGTGAAAGCCACTGTGGGTGCAACTAAAAACTGAGGACATAAAAAAAATGAGCCTGTCTTTCCCATTAATTAAATGTCTCAGTCTTGTACATTTCCGACACTGTGTGTCTGCATAGTGATGAAACGATTGTAGTCTTGATTATTGTTTTGGTGAAGGTGAACTCTTTTGAGTAGCCCTGGTTTAAAATGATATAAATATCAACCTGAGGGTAAAAAGCTTGCATTTTGGATAAAAAGTACATTTCTTTTTTGTTTTTTTGTTTTGTATTTTGACCAAAAACAGAGCGATGCTTTGAGGTCATACAACTGAAACCTATTACTACACACAGATCCGTGATGAGGCCTAAAAATGCCTTTGGTGGAAAGCAGCCATTGCTGGCATTCTGTCTGTCTGCTACTTGTCTGACCACCTTGGCATCAGGTTTTCAGCGTTTCTCTTTACATGTCAGCGATGATGTGATAAGATGACATAGTTGTATTTTAATATGTCCCTTATTGTTTTAGTGTAAAACATAATGTAAAGTCTATCGATATATATTTTTTGTCCTCTCATCTGAAACTTTCCGTCTGGAGAAGAAGACCTATAAAACACTATAATGACTTCAGATGTTACATTTGGATCCTTTCAAATATTTCCCCACAGTTTTAAACCTTTTTAGACTATTGTTTTGAATTTGCCTCATACTGTCAAACTGCAGCCAAAGTGGTATGTGTTTCCCACCAATGAGGGTTAATGTTGATTCTACATATTTAACTATTATATAACACAATTATGCTTAATTCCCCTGCTTTGGAAACTAAATATCTAAATCTGTCTATTGAATTTGTTATATTCACTTGAACAACTTCTTGCCAATTTAGCATCTTTTTGTGTGCATGACCAATTTATTTTTAATATTACTGCAAAGCAAACTTAGCCACTTAAGGGTTCAAATATTTCATAACCTTCACACTTATTCCAACACTTATTTGTCCTCAAAATATATTTGTCACATTTTTTTTAAAGAAAATTCAACCTTATTTGGTAACATTTATTTTGGGAAAGACATGAAAAGGGTACTTGACATCCAAGTAGAGTTGTGTGGGTTGATATTAAAACTTTAAGTCAGGAAATGAATGAAAAAAGTGTCTCACTGAAACATCCTCAGTCAGAGTAGTAATTTATTTATGTTTTTTTTTTTAACACCTGAAACTGAAAAGCAGACTGGATGAGGGTCAGTGTTTATTTTGCCACCCTGCAGAGTGAAGAGGATGGTGGGGGAGGTAAAATAATAAATATTTCTCAAGCTCACTGCTGGAGATCTACAGCAAAAAGGAACATCTTATGCTGATTATTAGGTAAAGTGGAGAATCTCTGATTTTGTGGGCCAGTTGTGGCTTTTTTCACAAAGACCCTAAACACTCTGTGGGGTGTATCATCAAGTCTTTAAAATATTATTAAAAATAACAATCTGGTAGCTTCTTCCTGAAAATTAAAACTACTTTTATTATTAGATCTATATGATCCATGAACATGCGATCAAATGAACTCAGAGATGGCTCCACAAGACAAAATTAACTTTCTTCCAGTATCACCTAAATCCTCTGAGGTAGTAAAAACAGTTAATGTGGAGAATTCTGGCAGTTATTGGCCAACAACAAAAAGAAACCGAACCAGAAAGTTCTGAGCTGGAGCTTAATTTTCCTTTGCAACAATGAGATCTTCACTGACCATTCTTCTATAACTGCACCAAGAGCTTTTAGCTGGAATTCAGCAGTTTCACTGATTAATTGGGCCAAGTGGGCCTTTCAAAGAAAACAAGAGATGAAATGTTTGATTTAGAGTTGTTATATTTTATTTGGTTTTAAAAAGAAATTGCTGGGCGTGGTGTGGTGGCGTAGGGGATAGCGCAACCCACATTTGGAGGCTTTGAGTCTTCGACGTGGCCTTCGCAGGTTCAACTCCTGGACCCAAATATGTCTTGTCAGGCTACCATCACATATACAGTAAGAGACACTAGAGCCCACAAAAATCCCCCTGTAGGGGGAAATAAAAAGAAAATGGCCGCAACTATAATCTCCTTTTATGAACATGAAACTTTGTTTATGTTGTATTAAATAGTTTAAATTTCACTTCCTTTTTTTTTTCCCTCCGCTAGGTGACATTTACCAAACGGAAGTTCGGTTTGATGAAGAAGGCGTACGAGCTGAGTGTCCTGTGTGACTGCGAGATCGCGCTCATTATCTTCAACCACTCAAACAAGCTGTTTCAGTATGCCAGCACCGACATGGACAAGGTCCTGCTCAAGTACACAGAGTACAACGAGCCACACGAGAGCCGGACCAATGCCGACATTATCGAGGTAAAACGTGGGAACGGGTAGTGGGTTTAATAATTGTAAACACTTTGTTTCTGAATCTCTTTTATGTGAAGCTTCCTTTTACAAAACCACTTTCACACTCACATTCTCCCTTGAACCAAACAGATTTCTGTGCAATATACCCATGTGATTTACTGTTTATTTACCTTGAGAGAAATTTGTTTGATTGTTTTATCCTGCTGGTTTCCTGTTTCTTCTTTAGATAGTTGTTAAATCCTCCATTCAAACATTGCAGTCTCTCATCAGGCTTATTCAGCTTTCTGTCCTCATTCATGTTTTAAAAACCCTGAAATGGAGCATTGTTTAAATTTTGTTGGTCATATGAATAGAAATTTTCACCCTTTTTTATTTTTTTTTGTTCTACTTATTTGTTATCCACCAACTTTATACTTTTAAAACTTTTAATATATTTTTACCAAGTCAGCGAGCTGCTCAGAGAAGGAGCTTTTCCATCACAAATATTTGTAATGTCAAAAGGCCTGACTTGTTTTGCTCCTTGTTGATGCCTTTGGGCCAGGATAGTATTAAGCTCACCTTTCAATCCACAGCTTTAAAACTAAACAAAATAAAACAAAAGAAAACAAACAAACAAACAACAAAAAAAAAACAGAGAAAGGATAGACTTCTTCTCTTTTTTTCACAGAAACTTATACTTAAGCCAAGAGCTCCATTGGAAGATTTGAATCACTCTTTGGGCTGGAGCCAGAGGGTACAAACACTATCTCAACATCAACAAACAGGGGGAATTGTTAGACTTACTCTGCTCAAAGTGCAGCAATTCCACTGAGAAACCCATCTAAAGCCAAATTGTAAAACAACTAGGTTTCTGTTTTGTTTTATTACTACTAATTTGATCCAATTGAAAATACTTTATTTGTTCCAAAGGGATTTTAAGTGTTGCTGTAACTCACAACATCCAAGTGTCTTCAAAGAGTTGTTCTGTGGGCTGAAAAGGTCTCTGGTAGCAGTCAGGTTTGCAGCGAATCTGAATAGGCCTCTGACAGAAAAATACTGTTGCTCAAACCTTGGGCAGCAGAGACAACATTACTTGTCCTTGATGACACCATCAGTTTTTGTCAAGCATTGCTAATCAACCTCACTTGGTTTTGCTGCATTAGTTTAAAGGTTCCCACTTGCTTCATGCCAAAATCAGCCCTCATTAATTTTGACATGCTATGAAAATTGTGTTTTGTTTGACAGAAATCTGTGCATAGCATCATCCGATTGGTCAGACGTTTGTTGCTGAGTTTTATGCAGAAATGCACTCAGAGTGCAGAGTTGATATTTCTCTTCAACTAGTCCAGTGGAGGGATGGGGAACTGTTCAGTTTCAGATGGAGTCTTAAATCTTTGTCTGGCCGCATGGTCAGAGAGACGTTGGAGTCGGGGAAATAATCCTTTCTGATTGTGATCGATGGAAGAGATGGCTTGAACTTACACATTCTCTGTCTCTTTCTGCTATGCATCCATGGAGCCTTATTTTACACTTCTTTGGTACTTAAGGTCATAGTTCATGTATTGTTTGAGCTTTTAAAATGATAAGCAGCTATTCTTTCAAAAACGATACCTTGATAACCGTTATCAAGGTATCAAACGATACCTTGTTAACCTGCACTATTCCAAAAGGAAAAAAAGTAAAAGCAAACATCTTTCCAGCTGCACAACATCCAAAACCAGAGGGAGTAATTGTTCAAAAATAGCTTGACCAAGATAATTATGAACAAAAGTCTACAAAAAGAACACATCAAAACTAATATAACAGATCTACTGCAACATCCAGCCAACACGAGTGGCACGATTCTAGAATAAATGTTAGTGTTTATCTGATGCTTTTCCTGATTCTTTAGTTAAGTTTATGTCTGACTTGTTGACCTCAATCTTTCATGGTGAGGTAAAAGGCTGTTTTGGTTCTCATCACTTTCTGTGGTTTTTGTTGCATTGCTAGCCTGGGATCTCTCAGGGAGCAACTTGGGCAAAACGCCAAAGAAGGAAAATATTTGGAAGCAATTGAAAACCACCTCAGCACAAAATGGCCACCACATAAGCAAGAATCTGTCAGTAATGGTTGAAAAATAGCTTTTCATTTACAGAAGAGAGATGATAGATTAGGTCAGGGCAGACGGTGTTGAGGTCAATCACTGAACTAAATATTTTTTTTTATTTTGCTGTGCTTTGCTGGAGCTCATCGAGGGAACATGGAGCACATTCACATGCTTAGCTGACCCTTTTCATACATAATGACCCTCTCATGAATTCCACACGAGACGGTTAGGTATGATTCAGCGGCCATGTGCATTGCTGTGCTGCACTCATGCTTCCTATGGAGCCGTGACTTAAAGCTGCATCCGGCTTGCCTTTGAATATTTTCTCACTTGCTTTTTATGCACATTGCCGCAGGACTTTCAGTCATCCGCAAACAATATCAGCAGCAAGTGACAAAGGGTGCTCCAGTTAAAGTCACATTCCGCAAAAAATCCACACAAGCAGACTAGCAAAAAGGGAGACATTTTTGCTGGTCTGCTCATAAACAGATTTTATTTGGTTTTTTAGTGGTGTGCTGACATGACCTGAAATGGTTCGGCTTCACATTCCCAGTCTTTAATTTATTCAAACTGGCCTCACAGTTTTGGAATGAAAGCTTGTGCTGGCAATTATGGAAAGTGAGAACAGGAATATTGGAGTACGAATGGTTCCCTGCTGCTTTCATCCACTGTAACCTGCCAAATTACAATCTGTGCAAACCTTCCAGATAATCTAACATAAAGTAAATTCAGTTTTAACCTTTAACTGCCCACAAATGTGCGTATCAATAGAGTCCATTTAGGTGTTAAACTTAGCCAATTATCTTACTGCTGTTTAAAGCCATTGTGTGTAGTTATGTGGTGAGAGTGTTTCATTAACCACTGATAGCCAGGTTCTACTGCTGAGAATATGTTATTGCCCCTTAAGATGTTACAACTTTTAATAGAACTCCTCCAGCTTTGAAATGGATTTCTTAGAACTTTAGCACATTATTTCTTCTTTTATTGACTAAAGTTGGGAAATCCAAGTAGACATTGGTCCATTACCAGTGTCAAGGTATATCGAGGGTGTGAAAACGTTTGATAATTTCTCTGACACTTTATTAAAAAGAAATAAAACTGAGAAACCCCAGTTTTCTTTGGCTTTATGAAGTACATTTTTGTTTTAAAGACTGTTTAACACTATGTACCAGTTCCAAACCTTTTTTACAGATCACATCCTTTCAGACCACATGAAGTAGCAAAGCGTAAAATTGATGAAGTGAAAACCAGTGAATCTGTCATTTGATGGTTTGGTGTGAGAAAGTTAGTGTTGTCTGGAATGAGCGTTTTCTGGGTAAGCTGGCATCTGCCAATCAGACTACACATCCATTTACTGCCGGAGAAATTGACCAGCAAATCCCTTCTGTGCACATCGTGATGTGATTCTGACTATAAGATCTAAATAGACTGTCATTATTTTTTAAAGACTTTTCTTGTTTGAAGACAAATTCATGTTGAGAAATGATTAGCTTTTCATTTGCTTATCTATGCAGTTTTTTTTTCTTCCATTGTTAAAACAGACATGTTGTTGGACAGTTTTAAGGGTGAAATGAAATGCATCCAAGGGGAAAGTCATCCAATGAGAGCTTCCCTGCAAAAATTGCTGAAACCTCATGTAAAGTGTTAGCGAAGCACTTTTACCTTTGAGTGGGTTGAAGGTAAAACTTAGGTGCCATAGTTCGGGGCAACATTTTTCCCTTCTACATCTCTGTCTGTCACTTCCTGTCTTTCTTTCTTCCTTCTTCCTGCCCCCTTTCCTCCTCCCTTCCAAATCTCCTGATTCATTCAGTCACGACAATTTCTCCCTTTTTCCTGTCCTTCTCTTTCTGCCTGTCTCGGAGTGTCAGCAGTAAAGCCTTTCTGTAGGCAGTATCTCCAACTGCAGATGGCTCTTAAGTGTATGCATGCATGCGTGTGTATGTGTGTGTTTGTATCGTGGCAGGGCGTTGGGCAGCTCTGGGCCACATCAGCTCAAGCTCCACTGGTTCTGTTTGTGTGCGTACATGTGTTGATGTTTCCAAGTGTGTCGTCCCGTCTCTTTCTTTACGTGTGTGTTTTCATTAATGTGTGTGTGACCACAAATACGTCCACCTCTCCATCTCTGCTCGCATGCTTTGCAGTGGCCCATGAGAACGCCTCATACAATATTCAGTCTTGGTGAGGCTCTCTGTTGTGTACGTGTGCGCGTCCCTCATGGATGTGTCTCTCCCATTCCGGCTTTTATTCTCTCCCACCCCACTACCTCACCCTTTCTCTCTGTAGCCCAGGAGGCATTTAAAATCATTCCTCAGTATTTGTCCTCAATTGTCTCCTTCACCAGATGTGTGCTGGCTTCCACCTTTTTTTCATCCAGGTGTCCGTTTTGTCCCCTCTGCTTTTTTTCTTTCCACCTAAAGTCTTGGATTTTTTTTCTTCTTTTATATAAAGGAATAAATAACGACTTTTATTATTAATCAGTGGGTTTCTGCTTCAATACCACTAGCTGAAGATTTAAAAAGTTGTAAAGATTTAAGAAATACTACTTAAAATAAATAAAATGTATATAAAATAAGTGTTTTATGAGAAATTATTTCATATTGCGATGGAGGACTGTGTTTCAAATAAGAGTTAGAAAACCCTGCAGTCAGTCGGTTCATTGTAAGGAGCAAACATTTCACCCACTGGTTCACTGACGTGTTATTAATATTTTTGAAACAACAATGGTTCTCTAAGGCACAGAGGAAGAAAATATATTAATTTTTTGATGTCTACGTAATAATAATGTTGGTAGCATATGTTGGGTCTTGACAAAGGATAGCTCCGTTTTCTTTTTTTTCATTTATCTTTCCCCCCCCCCCCCAGACAGAAAACTATGTTGCATTAACAAATTTACCAAAAGTATTAATGAGTAGATTTAACATTTACATCACATTTAATACCT